CGCCCGCCCGCCCGCTCGCCGCCAGCGGGCCCCCGGCGTTGGCCGCGGCTTTGTGCTTGCTGTCGGTGCCTGCGTGCTGCTGCTGCTGCTCCGCCATGTTCCGCGGCGTGTTTCGGACGGGGAAAAAGAGAGCCTCCCCCCCGGTCTCCCCCTCGGCCTCGGCGCTCCCGGTCACTGCGCTGGTGTCGATTTGCAGCGAAGCACAGTAGCACCCCAGCCGGCTCCAGACACACCAGCCTAAGTCCGACTGACTGATTCAAAAGAGGAGGAGGAGGAGGAGGACGGGCGGGGGGAGGGGAGGAAGCGACGAGGTGGGGGCGGGGGGCGGGGACTCGCCGGCCTAACAGGAAGAGCTTTCCACCTCTCACAGCGCGACAGGTACAAGGGGGCGGGCGCCGGCGCCGGCCAATCAGAGCACGGGGCGGCGCTGACGGGCAGGAGCGGGTACCAATGACGAGAGCTTCGGGAGGGGGGGGGGTCGACTCGCGGGGGCTGGCCGGAAGGGCTGGAACAAGCGCGAGCGCCGCCGAGCGCTGCCGCCGAATCAGACGCCGCGGCTCGCGCTGGCGGGCCGGCCGTTGGGGCCTGAGAGCTGCCCGTCAAGAAGCCGAGGCCCCGGGAACCAATGAAATAAATGACTTCCTTAGTGCAAATGGGAACGTCCGTGAGGGAGAGAGGAGAGAGTAGGCACCTGAAGGGAGAGTGAATGAAAGAAAAAAAAAACACAATTAGTGGTTTCCTAAACACGCGTGTCCTCAGTAACGACGTCCAGGGTGACCGGGACGCCCACCCAAAAGAGCGGGTGGTTTCAGGGCAAATAAAATAATATGCCGCAACCCCCAGTCCGTGTCCACTCGTGTTTGAAGGAGATGTTGTGAAAAACAAGAAAGGGAATGAGATACCATTCGTCTCAGGTTTTCACCCTGTAAAGCAGCCACGTTGTCATTCTGCCCGCTGTCGCTGCGCTATAAAACACTCTTGAGGCGATGACCACTGACGCCATAAAAGCTTTGTGGGTCTCAAACCGAACCCCCTTTTCACATTTTCACTCATTACTCGTGCTTGTTTTTCTTCTTCTTCTCGCCCCAGTTGCTGGGGAGCTTCCTAAACCAGTCAAGCCAGGCGGCCTGCGCTGAAGTTCATGCGGGCCACACGGAGACTGGAGATTTCAGTGAATAGCGGTCGCTCTGCTGCACTGGCAGACCACATCACAGATGTGCCTGTAGGAAGTGTTGATATCGTCGATGCAGACGTTATTTTTCAGAAAAGCGGGTATTCAAAGCAGGTGCACCTGTTCTTCACTGCTTTGCATACCGACCCCATGCTGCTATCTTGCTCATGATCTATGTGTTGTGTAATATTCATAAATGTTTCCATATAACTACCTCTTTCTGACAGCGCAGCCTATGAACTCAGCTTGGAACCTGGCCTAACGTTGAGGAGACTTTTGAGGAACCTGAAATGTCACGTTTTTTCTTTCTTTCTTTTTCTTTCTTTCTTTTTTCCTTTGACCTTTTCACAGAAGAATCAGACTTTTCCTGTCTGTTCGCATCTTGTGTACGCAGGCAGCTCCTCACGTTTTCAAAATCGTAATGAAGCGAGCTGATTTTACAAATGCTCCAAGCTTCATGTTAGAAAAAAAAACAATGCTTAGAAACGAAATTGCTTTTTGTTTTTGTGACTTCTAGACGAACGTAAATTGATCATTAGGCTAAAATATGGCCTTGATGCTTAGTTAACTGTGCATACCACCCTTGATACAGTGTGCTAATCCTTCTTATATACTGCGTAAAATGCACATTAAACCCAATTAAACCGATTCTTTTGACTGACTCGCACCGTGTTTAAAATAACATTGCCACTTAGCATTTTCTACTAGTCATACTGCAGGTGTTATGTCTCACCTGACTTTTTTTCCAGCAGGTCTTAAGTGGTAATACTCTATTCTCTGTGCTGTTAAAAGTCAAAGGATGTTCATTGAAAATACAGCCGGAGGAAAACATCCTACAACTGTTTTCTTTAATGAGTTTTTTTTTTATAATGAATGAGGTTTTGGAATTCTGGAATTCCTCTACATAGAGGAAAAAAAAAACAGTTAAAACAATATCCTTAATTGAACTGTTTCTGTGTTGGTTCAGAAAGATTGAGGTTCACGCATGCAATGGGCATGTTTGATTTATTTACTTACAATGATTTTTTAAATAAAGTGAGTTGTGATACACATGTAATTCTTTATTCTGCAGTTTCAGACCCATTGTTTTAACAATTTGTTCTTCTGCATTAAAATACAGACTTACAATCCGTATTTGTAAGTACAGTAAGTGAAATCAGTTTCACAGTTTCACACGGGGAGCCCAGGAAAATGAAGACATATTGTATGCAGAAGAGAATAAAAAGAAGAGGGTGAGAATAATCTTTATTATATAGTGCCTTAGTCATCTCAAGGTGCAAACGGTTTTATCATCAAAGAAAGCAAATGCAAAACTACCAGGAAGAAAAATTAATATATTTAAATACATTAATAATACAATGAATTAAGGTTAAATGCTAATGTAGAGATAAGGGGCTAAAAGGGTAATTTGAGCAAGGTTATAGTGTATACAGTGGGTGGTAATACCATGAGCTCTGCTATCAGATTGAAATATTTTAAATATTAAAAAAAAAATACTTTCAACTGTAATGTAGGATTGTGGCGCGTTTCGCTGAAAACAAAATGCAATGATACCCCTGTTCTGTGTTTTATATTCTGACAGCATTGTGTAAGCCAGCACACTGCCGTGTGCGTATTTGATTTAGATGCAAGGTTGACAGTCCACAACGTACAGTAGAAATGATATTTGATACCAATTTTCTGAAACATTTTACGCAAAAGTAACATATTGCTCAGGTGTTTCCAGTCCTGCTTCTGGAAAGCTCCAGGCCAGCTTGTCTCACAGGTCACTCTAAAACACCAATTTTTTTAAGTTGAGGAAAACTTTAAAATCAAAGTTATCAACCGTAGCATTGCACAACTAAACAAGTAATTTGTTCAATTAAGGAAATGCTGGTCCCTGTGTGGTCTACAGCTTTTTGGTCCAAATGATCTCTGAATTGGGAGCCACAGTGACACAGGGGTAACACATTGCTATCAGGATATAAAAACACAGATCAGGATTATCATTCCACTTTGTTTTTAAATGTATATCTTTTCATTTTTACTATTGTTCTATAGCACTTTCAAATGCATTGACTTAAATGGCGTTTTCTAAATGAAATTCGATTGATCAGTTGAGTGTATAAAACATTTCTGAGAAAGAAAGGCTACTGAGGGATGACTGGCTACACACCAGTTTGCTATTGCTGGTATAACACTTACAAAACACAATCTAAAAATCGATAAGAGTGTGGCTTTATACATAATAGTACTTATTGTTGAAGAGATCACTACATATATGGAGCACTAAAGGACAGCCTGCACTCTTCTGTTGGTTTGCATGTTGAGATTAGATTACACTGCTGAAAAAGGCTTCCGAATACAATGGCTTAAATAAGCCTTTGTGTACCAGAAGTAGAAACTTTTATCTGAAACTCAGTAATGTACACGTCTCAAATTGTCAAACATGGTTATTTCTTGGGTTTTTTTAGGTTTCTTTACATCAGCTCGGATACATCTACAGTCCTCGTAGTGATCGTAACAAAAGCATGGGAAAGAATCGGGATTTGCCTGGGAATTAATTATTGATTGTTCATTTAGAAAAAGTATGATCTACTTCCGCTGAATTATTTTGCCGACAGCTCATCTAAAAGCTTTTCGGGCCAGCATGTGTTGTCATGTCAGGAATTAAAGTCAGTACCGTTGAAGGACGTTGAAGAGATATGAGATAGATGTATTATGGGGTACCCGGTCTATAGTCTGTCATAATGCCAGAGGAAGTTTGAATCGACAGTAATGCGTGTTGATCAGTAAATGATTGTGTGACCACGTGGTTTAATAGGAGCAGACTTCATGTGATCTTCAAGCAATGTGACATAAGTCCCACTGTTCCACATTATCCTGTAAAAGGATTTAAGATACATACCCTCTAATCGGGACAATTTGTTTTTTAAATCCAACCTGACGGATTCCTTGTTCCCTTTGCTATTCTCTGGTGATGAGTCACCATGTTCCTATTTTGACTCGTTTTGTTGGTAAACCCAAACAAATTCCTCTGCTTACACAGTCAGGTGTTCCACGGCCATTACTGTGAATCATTTAGTAGTTCTTGGTTCAAGATGTATTAAGAACGTCAATTTTATATATTCGTTTCATTTTCTGCATTTACAAGGATGGATGGAACTAAAAACCTTGGGCTGTATGTTCAAAAATCTTTAACACTTTTTAACAGATTTTCATTGCTTTCTAATGGGATTTAATCATTTGTTCTTTCTAATATAGAGCCGTTGCTTTTAATGCCTTTTCCGGATTTATTTTATTTAATTCCCGTCTTTTCCAGAATTTATTATTGTATTTATCACTAGCTATAATCCATTTTATGGAAGCTGAAACTAATGGAAATTATTCAGCTTTCATACCCCAGTACTAAACCATTATTCTGTATAACAAGGAGCAACAGGAGGATTTCCTAATACTCCAACTGCCTTTCTTTTCCCCAGCTCTTTTCTCCCTACCACAAATGAGTTTTAAACAAACGGTTAGGGTTTCTCCTGAGAAAATGAATAATCTCTTTAATACACAGGTGGGTGTTATGATGTTGTTAGTGTATTTGTTTTGTTTTGACAATGATACAAGACAATAACAAGAGTTTTGAGGCACTGACTCAGATAACAGTTAACAAAGGTTGATGAGGCACAAAACAACAATATTGTGACCAAACCTTTTGTTTCAGGGGCTTCTGGGATGTGTCGGGCCCAGAAA